TGGATTGTGTGGTATGTTCAGAAGACTCATCTTCTGAAGATTCCTCTGATCTGGCAACGTCACGCACAGAATTTTCGCCATCTGAAGAGAGATGCTAGTCCTACCTCCGATCGTGATTATTCTTTTCACTTCCTGAAAACTCACTGCTAGTGTCACTTGCTGAAGCTGCACAGGAACGCAAGTCTTTTACGTGTGTTGGCATTCCATCAACCAGCACAGTGCGCGAGTTGCTGAGTCCAGTGATATGCCCAAACTCGGTACTGGGTTGTACATCGGTTATGTGGGGCTTTTACCCACACGCGATCGCCCAGGTCATACGGCGCTCGTTCTTTTATCTGTTCAGTTTAACGCGTCGCGTCAATGCCTCTTAGCCGGACTTTGTACTGGTAAATCATGTTGGCTGGTGCAGTTGAGGGTGACACATTGTCTTTAGGGGTAACGTTGTGCCAATACACCGCTTACTTTATGGAACACTGCAATCCTCTTGACGCTCCGATGGCATGGTTTGATTATGCCATTTCATGATGGGACATATGAGCAGCGAAATCATTGGTGGACTTTCCACGAATCCAAAAAATCTTTAAATAGTCCACTGCGGAATGCAGTGTCATTGTCAGTGAGGAGTTCCGTCGGAGGTCCACGTTCAAAGAACAACGCCTGCAAGTGGTCAATCATGCTTGTGGAATCCTGTCGATGCAGACGTCGCCAAATAGTGACCCGGGTTGGGCCACAGTCAATCAGGGTTAGATAGTGAGTTCCATTATGATGGGTGATGTCCATTCCAACACGGTGCCACACTTTGCTCACATCCAGTTGTTCTTTTGGCCATTGCACAGGTGCTGGGTCAATGGACTGACACTCTTTGCATTCTCTGACCACTGCCCTGACGGCAGCTTTGGATACGGAGGGATCAATCTGCCTCACTAAATATAGAGTCCGTTTTATACCGGGATGTCCGCTTTAGCAATGCACAGATTTTAGTAGATCTGAGTTACGGTCGCTCGCTGATGTTGCGCATACATGTCCTACCGGCTCTACCTCTTTCTTAACAGCGTCTAGCCATCTCTGAGGTACCCTTGTTAAAATATCTGCTTTTTTCCGATTCGATCTAACCAGCTGTATATCCACTGATAAGTGGTATTCACTTACCAACTTTTCCAGTGTGTCTAGCCTCCTTCGAATGAGCATTTCGCTCGCAACCTTTGTACATATCCTGGCCTTCCCCGTAAGAGTGTCTGCTATCCACTTATACACGCATGCAGAATCCGTGAACAAATGCAACACCTTTGCATTCCAGTGAAGGGCCCCGGTTACTCCTTTAATAACGGCGTCCAATTCCGACAGGTTGATGTTATGTATCCTTCTCGGGACGCAACCAACATGCGTCTTTCACGACGGTTCCATCTATTTCAAGGGGCACTCCTGTTGTAAGGGAGCTCGTGTCGACCCAGACGTCAAATTCACATCCGTCAACGCACCATTTACCACGTACGGAGTCGTCTGGTAATGACTTCCGCTATCATATCTCAAAGGGGAGCATCATTTGTTTTGTCATCCAAGCCGGAAGTGACAGCAGTCACCCTACGTTTGATAAAAGCAGTCGCAATGCAGATCCAACCGCCCACAGGAAAATGTCCCACCAGCTTTCCACATAACGAGAACACGCTGCGTCGTATCATCGTGTCTGGGAATGCCTGGGAGCTCGCTTCCACGTTTCCAGTAAAGTACGTTATGTCCCCCCCACCCACCCGGCAGACCTGCAAGCCGAGCACACGAGCACCGTCCTCCAGTCATTCTGGGTTCTTACATTCGAGTCCAAAGTCAGCAAGATGCTGTCTCCCCTGCGCAGCGGGCACTAAAGTTTCGTTGGTGTAGATGTCATCATTGTAAGCTGACGTCGCTTGTCACAGCATCCACGATAGCACAGCATCCACGATAGCTTTCTTGATGGCCGGCGCCACATTGAACCCGAATCCCATTCGCGTTAGGCAGTATCTCCTCCCGTTAAGGATCACCGTGTGAAATGGCACGCGTACCTGCAAGTACGCCTTTCGAAGGTCAATCACAGAGACATTGGACCCCTTTCTTCTCCATTCTCTGAATTTTTGTGCACACACATCAGCATGAGCCGTGTATGCGTCTGCATGTTTGTTCAGTTCTCTATAATCTAGTACGGGGCGCACCTTTCCTTTGTTCTTCTGTGCCACGGCCATCAACGGGATGAGGCCTCTTGGAGGACCAAGCTCTTCCTCAGGATATGAAATCAGCCATCCACTGTCCAGCCACACCTGCAATTCGAGCTGGTAGTCTTCCTTGACGCATTTGGGCACAGAGTACTCTGACACTCGGTTCTGAAGCCTTTCTGGCGGGTTATTTTCCGACCATTTCCACAGTGCTGTCCATGTATTCGTTCTTTGGTCGAACTCTGCGCTAAAGTTGGGCCCGTTGATCCTCAAAGCAGCACAGATAGGCGGACTAGAAAACTTGACTTCACCCGCCTCTGTGATGCGTACTCCGCCCAGCTCCTTAATAATGTCCATCCCAAGGAGCAGGTCAAAACCTAATAACGCGCTATCCACGACCAACACACTGACTGTGACGGGGTCACCGTTGTTGATACTGAGTTTGATGTTTCCGACTCCCCGGCTCCTGAGACTTTCCATCGGCCGTTAGTACGTCCATCTTTTGTCTTCTTCACTGCCGACAAATTGATCCGTTCGTGAATGACCCAAATCTACTAAAGCGGTACGCGTCATTCCATTGGTGCGCACCTCAATCACAAGGAGCGTCTCTTTCATGCTCGGTACGGGGAAGAGACCGGCGTCGATGTCGCGTCCTCTATTCCATTTCCCGGACACTTCGAGGCAATGTGACCTACTTTATGACAGTGAAAACATTGTAGATCAGGACGTGCCTTTCGCGCCGACCCACTGCGCATTTCTTCGCGTTTATAGCGGCAGTCTTTGGCAAAATGATTCGGCACAGAGCACAGATAGCAGGGGACATCGCCATGGCGACGGATGGCTGGGATCGGATCCTCTTTTACTTCAATTGGTTGAACGACTGCAGCCACTGGTTCAGCCTATTTTTCGTCGATCATGATAGCGCGGGCTCTGATCAACAACTGGTTGAGCGTCGTGTCTTCCATTCTGGATGATGTGCGGAGTATCTGCTTAACATGATTAGGCAATCCAGACACGAAGGCACAGGTCATCCATTCTTCAGGAAGCGGCGCGATCGGTACGGCGAGCTTCTTTAATTCCGCCAAATATACGTCTACTGTCTCGCCAGGCCGCAGACGCCGCGTCTGGAATTGGTCATAGGCCACGAACCTGTCAGTTCCAAAAGCGGTTAGTAGAGCGCGTTTTATTTGCTCAATGTCACTTTTGCTCAGCTGCCTATACACAGCAAGGGCGCCGCCTTTCAAGTGCAGTGGAAGAATCCATTCAATCTTCGTGATTTCGCATAATTCGCAGACCTGTTCCACATTTTCGATCCACTTAACCACAGGTTGTCCACACGTATCACCACTGAATTCAGGGATCCGTTTTATATCGAACGGTCATTCCGATATCTTGCTAGAGACAAAGTAAACGCTGAAATAATTTGTTGTAAAGAAAAGAAACTGTTATAGTAGCAATAAACGACTGCACTAGATTTATTCTGTCTCTCGACCGCAACACTTGTAGCCAAATCACAGTTCAATCGATAGTCCGTCGTATCAGTCCAACGGGCAACGTAGAAACGACAAAATGAGGTCACAACTCCAACCTTCATTTCTCACCAGCAAAAACGCGTGTTCGTCAACCAAGCTCAGAAAACCTGTTCACATAAGCGAAAAACACCGGTTTTTTCACCGAGATAATTTTCTGATTTGTCACGCCATTCAGGGGAGGGAAGAACATTAGCATAGTAGAATCTATGCTAAAAGTAGATTTTATGCCCTTAAAGTAGATTTTTTTTGCTAACTACTTTTTGGTAATTTTTCTTCGGCAGATCGCACACAAAATACGAACTCTTTTTCGAGGTAGCTGATTTTCTCTTTCCCTACACTTTGTTAAACAAACGTTCACATTCGAAAATTGCATTAAACTTTTTACATTTTTTTAAAATCTTCAAATACAGTGTAACCCGGATATAAGACCGGACCGGAGAAGAAGTCTCTTATATCCGGGTTTCTCTTTTATCCGGGTTTGGTCTATTTTATATACATTAGGCTCTAATTTGGGACCAGAGAAAATCTCTCTTATATCCGGTTTTCTCTTATATTCGGGTTACACTGTATGTCTTTATCTAAAATAAACTCTTGTGCAACGGGGTTAATTTCAAAATTGCACTGAAGAAAAATTACAAGTGTCTTTTTGTTTTTTTAGATATGAAGTTTACTTTTTAGCTTTAGAATTTTTTTCTGTCGAAAATAACATTTTATTAAATTATACAAGTAAGTACTAATTCTCAAAAAAATTATTTTCGAGTCTTTTTATTGAATTGTTTTTTAGCAATGTGCCGAATTTCTCTATTGCATAAATAAATTCTTCGTGTTATTGTAAAACATAAACCCATACATACACCATATTTCCCCAATGGATTTTTTAAATAAAATAATCTATTCAGTAAAATAAAATATTCATTGATTTATTCATTAATAAATAAATACTGAAAAGAAAATTGTTTGGGAATCTGATAATAATTCTCTGATTTTGGCAACGGGGGTAGTAACGATTTAAATGATTATTTGCTTTCATTTCGGAAAAAAAATCATCATTTTTTTGGCGGTATCTTTGGATTAGTAAACGTGACTAAGTTTAAGATAAAGAGAAGTATCTCTTGACTCAAGACTTTGGACCTTGTGACACGTACACTAACAAGCATTAACTTAGCCGGATATTTTCAGTAAGTGGGAATAAATTCGTTTACCACCGTTCGGTGTACTTTGAACTTTGTTAGTTTTGACACTTAAAAACAACTTTATTATTATTTTTTTTCTTATTCTTACCGAAATGTTAATAGGAAAAGTTACCAATTTGCTTTCAGGTAATTTCAGTTAATCTACAAAATGAAAAAGAAATATCTTTCTATATTAACTTATTTTTTCAGAAATTTTGTTTCGATCGGTTTTTAATTCAAATCAAAATATATTTATATTTTATAAGATTTAAAAAAAAAAAAAAAACTTATTACAATTATTTATTTATTTTTTTATTTATTCATTTATTTTTTTTTTTTTTTGCTATATTGTAAAAAAAAATCAACGCGAAAAATACTTTCAAATAGATTAGTCTGGAAATTGCAGCCTTTTTTTTAATAACTTATGAATATACATTATTTTCAAGAAAAAAAACATCTCTTCAATCAAAGCCTCATTTTTCTATTTACACGGGAAGAAGGTATCATCGTTACACCGCTTAAATACTGAGCTTTATTTCTTACGGTTATTTTGTTAGTGTTTATTTTTGAATGACTTTAATTAACTACTAAATTTACTTTCAGAAATTACTTTAGTCAATTTTCATGCGAAATAATTGTCTTAAAAACATGATTCTTTGAAATTAGCATCAATTTTTTAAAATGTTTTACTTTAGTTTTCTTCGAGTAGAAACGTAAATAAACATAGTCTACCCCCCTCTGCCATTTTTTGTGTTTTTTGCCTACTTTTTTTTATCAACGTTGCTTTGCCCTAAAAATGTTTTTTCTTATCTAAGTTTTTTTTTGTAACTCTGAAAAACAAGATCGTTGAAAAGTAAAAAAAACGTAACTTATCAATTCTCTACTACATATGAAAGCACGTTCGATACCCTGCCCTTGTCAGCCGCCAACGAGCAGAGGTAACACAGTTTCGAGCAGGGTATTGGTTTTTTGTATACGCGTCAGTCTTAGGTAAAAGTCCTACGAAAAAGGAAAGGGTATCGTAGTACAAACAAATGTTTGAAGTAACGTTAAAGACCAAAAGCACACGACAAAGACAGATGACACGAGACGAGTTTTTTTAAAAAAAAAAAAAAAAAACAATAACAAAAAAAAAAAAGAAAAGAAATACGTTAAATTTATGGAACACAAAAAATGAAAGCATTTGTTTTAGCTCCTTGACCTGGATTCATCCAACAGCTTATGTCAACTCCTGGACCGGAGTGACATGGCCTCTCCTTGCAGTTGATGGTGTCATCGCCTCAATTCAATTTTTGGCTTTATCAAGATAGGCTCCAAAATGTGTCTTGCGATTTGGAAGGAAGCCCTTTGATTGGTGCCAAAATAAAATCACATGCCACTATTTTCCCACAAATCAGAGGGACGCAAAAATATTTTTTTATGAAAGTCAATAGATTAAGCTAGACTTTCAGAAAAGCAGATGATACATGCTCATTGCTCAAGCAGCTTAATTAATTTTCTTATAGTCTCTTGTGATTTCTTTTTTACAACTGCAATGCCTGATGAGCTATGGTCTGCAGACAATGTGAAGCACAAATAATAATATGTAAATTATGGTAGTCTTTTGTTTTATGTTGGTAAATTCAATAAAAAGCTTGCTATTCCCACTTGAATGATGATTTGCGGTCTACTCTGTTAATTAAAAAAAAAAACAAAAAAGAAAGTAATGATAGACACAGTAAAAAAATAAATAAATAAATAAAATGTGGGAAACAAACTACTTAATTATAATTGGGAATGTGACGGGTGTAATAATAAAACCCATTTAAAAATTATCTGCACTGGATAATGATGGTGTCTCTCTCATTTGATAAAAATTCATAAATTAAAAATTCATAAATTATCTAAAAAAAAAAAAACACTTGTAGATATTCTTCTTAAACTTTCAATGTCATGTTGCAGTGATTTTTTTTTTTTTTTAAATGTTGAACAAATTGCCTCCAATAATTGATAATTAATAATTGGAAGCAAAGTGTGTACAAAAAGTGATCAAGTATGGAAGTGAAGAGATTATGCCAATTGGTCTTGCCAAAAATGCCTATTAGGAGGTACTCATTAGGTCTATAAAAAGTCAAATATTTCTTTCATCTTGTTCATTTTTGTCTTGCTTTGAGATGCAGTTAAACATAGATAAAGAATTCTGCCAGTGGGCTGTATTTTGCTTCCTTGGTCCTCTGTTGACTTTTGAACTCTCTCACACATTCACATACACATTCTTAAAGCTAGTTTCAATGTCTTTTGTTTTATTTCAATTGTGTACTAATGCAATTACTTGTAATTGCAGTTTGTTTTAAATTAATTTTCTTTTTTTCGTTTTATTTTTACCCAGACTCACATGAGTCCACTAATATTTTTTGTGGGACAAATGTTCCATAAATATTTTTCTATACCACATACACACACTCATATCAAAAGTGTAAACTTATTTTTACCCAAACATCATAGTAATCCACAACAGACACATGAAATTAATTTAAAAAGATGCAACAATTAGGAGTTGCTTCCTCATGTTGACAAAATGTTTAAATATTATAGACAGTTATTTCAATAATAAAACTTTTGAAGTGTATTTCTTGCTAATTATCCTTACATAAAGAAAAAGTGATATAAAGTCTAAATGGGGATGGGAATACTGGTCCACAGTGTCTTGTCCTTTAACCTAGCTATTCATAATAAGAACCATTCACACAAATATTGTTCCGATCACCAAAACATCACATGTAGTTTACACATCTTTGTCAAACTAGTGATACCATAATACTACAATTCTACATATGGAATGTACAATTTTTTGTTGGTGAGGGGAGGGATATAAAAATATTTTCATTAGCATGCAGAAGTTTTGGGCCAACTATGTAAAATGATTATATCTTCATTTTTTGAAGTTAAGATTGTTTTTTTAGTAGTATTGTTTTATCAGTAGCATCTGTGGACATTGAGGTTTGGAAAATAAGTTACGTTTTCATAATTGCTGTGTAACGGAAGATACACCGCTTGAAGCTGAAAAAAGTCCATGCAAAACTTTGAAAGATTCGAGATGATAGTCACGATAATGTGCTAATTTTTAAGTAGGAATTTTTCCATTTTGTTAACATCAGTAAGGTGCTTTAGCAAGTCATTGTAGTTGAGTATTAACTTGCTTTTTTACACTAAAATCATGGCTAAAATTTCTGATGAAACAAAGATGAAGCATGTGACTTTGAGTGGGGAAAATAACTCAATGAGAGATAGCCAGGTGGCTGGGAATTTTCAGTAAAAGTGTTCAGACCACCCAAAAGACATTTGCTACTATTTGATATGTTTTTAAGTGTAAAGAAAACCAGAAGACAACAAAAGTGGGATAAGAAAGATGAAAGAAATATTGTGAGTTTCAGTAGGCAATCCAAAATTAACAGCAAGACAAGTGAGAATAGAATAAGATAGTGATTGTAGAAACTTTCCTAAAAGAACCAACCCTAGACCAACTAAAGAAATTTGAGAAAAGACAACATGCTAGAGATAGGGAAACACTTAGAGCAAAATGTTAGAAAAACAATGGGAAAAGCAAGTTCAGTGAGAATAATAGCTGAGCACATGGTCGATAATGACATATTTGAAAAGGATGTACTAAACCAGTTATTGGTAGAGGAGGTCAAAATAGCTGCTAGGATGGAAAAAGAGAAGACATGTATCAAACAGGAAATCAGATTGAGAGAACTAGAGATAAATAGACAAGATAGTGAGGTAAGTCAGTAAGGGTTTGACCTTACAAAACAAGTTAGGCTTTCAGGAAGATGAGGTAGACAATTATTTTTCACATTTTAAGAAAACACTAATGAAATTAAACTTATCAAAGAATGCCTGGCCAATGTTATTGCAAACAGTATTATATGTGAAAGCCCAAAAGATGTATGAATCTCTTCCAGTAGAGGACAGCGCAGACTATGATTTAGTAAGGTCAGTGATTCTAAAATGTTATGAGCTTGTTCCAGAGGCCCAAACATATGTGGAATACTTAAGATGGAAAGAAACTTACATCAACCAATGGAACACAGCGACAGATGTTGAAAATGAATATGAAAAACTAAAACAGTTAATACTCATTGAAGAATTCAAAAATTGTATTGCCAGGGAGGTTTAGGATTCATATAGATGAAAGAAAGACAGAAATCACTTATGAGTTAAGCCGTATTAGCAGATGAATATGTAGGATTCATATAGATGAAAGAAAGACAGAAATCACTTATGAATTAAGCCGTATTAGCAGATGAATATGTAGGATTCATATAGATGAAAGAAAGACAGAAATCACTTATGAGTTAAGCCGTATTAGCAGATGAATATGCCGTGACTCACAGAAGGAGCAAAGGCAAACCTAACTTAGAAACCCAGACTCCTAATAAATTTAAATGCATAAGTTATGAAAAAGGTCAGAACATACAATTATTTCAAGCGTCGACCAATAATTGAACAGGAAAATAAACCGATGACATGCCATTACTGTCAAAAGACAGGGCACAATATAGAAAACTGTTGAACTTGGCAGAACAATGAATTAAATAGCTCAGCACTTAAAAAACTGCAGGGAGTCAGAGCTGCAAATAAAAGATCAGATGGATAAAGACCAGTAGTGATGTTATTGAGAAACAATTTGGCAGGTAGAAAAGTGATGACTTCTTCCCCAACCAAACTGAGAAAACCAGTAAAAAAGAAAAATTTGAATAAAAAGCTTAGAACAGCTAATGCAATATTGGATGCAGTGACTCATACACAAATGAGATTGTTTCTAATGTCATATGCCTATTTATCAGACAGGTGCAAGCTAAAAACAGCTTCTTACACATGTGCAGAATCACATGATCAAGTATGAAATGTTGAGCAGAAAAATATTAGAAGGAATCAGTTGGTCTGCAAATCTTAAGTGAGTAATGCCTCTTTTCACTTGTTACTGTCAAGCAAAAGAAATCACACAAGTCCCAATCCAACTCACTATGCCATATATACTAAATGCACGGGTGAATTACTAAGCATGATAATCACCTAAGACAGGCATGTATAACCCAACCAATTATTCAATTGGAGGAAAGCTATGACTGATACAGCATCAAATGTTCCTAACCAAAGGATGAATTCTACATTGAATATGAAAAGAAAAGAAACAAACATCTCTTGGAGTCAAAAATTATAACAGTGAAGAAAGAGTAACAAATCAAAAGATATTGCTGCACGAGCAAAAATTGAACTGAAAGTAAAAAGAACAAAAGAGAAATAAAATACAAAAATGAGAGGAAAAAGAGAGAGGAGAAATAAAACCTAAGTGTTTGATTTGACTTTTCATATCACATATAACACACATCTTTCCACACAGAAATGTATAGCACACATAATAGATTCTCAAAAATACTTCAACATCCACAAACCTCTTGCATGGGATGTGTGTAACAAGCTTCACAAGATTTGGCACTTTATCTTTTATTTACTTTATACTGCCTATTGTCTATCATTTTTAAAATTTTATTTATTTCATTCTTTTTGTGCAGGTGCCGTTATAAGTCCCATTTTCAGACAAATTGGAATCAGGCTGATGAGTTCACAGTTGGTAGATGGTTACAATTATGAAACCCTGAAGGTTATTAGACCTAGGGAATATGTGCTTCAAGTGGAACTTGACCGTCCTGATAAGAGAAATGCACTGAGTACAACTATGTGGAAGTAAGACAATTTGAATTGGTTTTAATATTAAAAGATCTTTACATATTTTAGTTTTTGACCTGATAAAAATAAAACACTTTTCAAGATAATGTAGATTATTTTTGGTTTTGTTTTTTTTCTCAAAAGTTATCTGAGATTACAATTAAAAATTCTTCAGGTCTTTTTCAGTTATACATTTTTAGAGATTTTCTTCATCAACACTATATTAATTTGTTATAATTTGTTATATGTTATAAAATTTAATAAAGAATATCCAGAAAATGATAACTTAGTATAATAAAAAATAAGCACTATAACATTATAATTAGAAATATATTTTAACATCTATAAGAAATGTCTCTATTTATTGTCCAGTTCAACAGAGATTTTGTAGGGGATTAAAAAACAGGTATTGGTATTAAAAACAATCGTCATTTACAGGATGTTATGTGGTTTATTTATTTTATGTTACTATAATACTTTTTACAAAACATTTCACATTTTCTAATGTTTTGCTTTTACTGGTTTAATACTTATTTAATAAAATTCAGATCAATTAATAAAATTTATGACAAGTTTTCTGCCTGAATTTATTAGAAGAACTGTTATTATTCAATGATTCTTTCAAACTAACATTCTCTTCTGGTTTAGCATATGTAGTGGGTAATGCAACTTATATTAAGTTAAAACTTAATTATTTTATTCTATTCTCCCACCTTACTAACTCTGACCCATAAACCTTTTACCCACAGATTGGGTGGAGACTCTCATATCATATATATATACATATATATATATATATATATATATATATATATATATATATATATATATATATATATATATAAGGTAAGTATTCCAGGTCAGAATGTCAGCAACTAAACTGGCTACTCCATTCCAAGTTCTTGCGAGTGAACTGTCTTGTTAACAAGCCACTAGGATGAAAAATAAGACCTAACAAAGAATGGAAGAACTCTTGATGAGCTAATGTACCAGAGGTGGTGTCTCTACAAACCACTATGGTGAGGTCAACGGAAAACAACTCCACTATTAATCACATGTAATATCATGGTAAATAATACACAATATGAAACCTACCGGCGTGAAGGGGTTAAGTCTATGGAAATTATCTCCTTGCATGGTAAGGACGGACATGTGGAACAGATGTCCCCTGACTGTCATCCAGCAACTGCTAGCACAATGCTGTAAAGGAGATAAAATTCTTTGGAACCTATCCCTTGCCTGGAAAGGTGCAACAGGTGTCTCACTGGACTGTTATTTTGTGACTGCTCGCATGAAACAAAAAATAACTCTTGGGACATGGAACATTTGGATGTTGAACAACTGTGGCCAGTTACATTTTTTTTTTTTTTTGTGTTTCACCCAAAGTAAGGCAGGCAGCCACTAACACCCAAAGGGTTACAGAGTTGGAGCAAGAGCAAAGAGGAGTGATAGAGGAAAGGATGAAGAGAAGGATGGGGGATAAATCAAGGCATCTGGAGACGTCGATTGACATTACATTTAAATAGTTGGAGATTATAGCTATCAGGGAAACAGGAAAAGGGGAGGGAATTTCACAGGCGAGAAGTGTGTGACATGAAGCTATTGGAGTAGAAGAAATGGCTACATTTAACAGTTTCAACAGTGAAAGGGTGAGAGCGAGATGCCAGCCTAATAGAACACTTAAATTCATGAAATCTGGGGACCAGCGAAAGCAGCTCATCGGAGCAGTTAACATGAAAGTATTTGTAAAAAAAGACAGAGGGAGGCAACGGCATGTCTGTCAGAGAGCGACTGCAGATGAGATGCCAGATCAGGGCCAATTACATTGCATATCTGTCTCTGGATTTTATCAAGAACCTTGTGACAAACAGAAGGGGCTCCAGACCATATATGAGAGGCAGTACTCCATTCAAGGGCAAATGGTAGATTTGAAGGATCGATTCTGGCGAGAAAAATTTCCTGGCGCGGCACAGGGAGCCAAGTCTCCTTGTGGTAGACAAAGCTATTAACTCAATGTATTTGTTCCATCTCAGGTCAGCAGTCAATGTGAGACTGAGTAGTCACAAAGATGGGCTCTCGTGGAGTTGAGCGTCAGACATTCTAATGGGGGCAGGGATGGTTCTCTGTGGTGAGTAATAGAGAACAGTTTTGTTTTTGAGGCATTAAAGTTAACCAGCCAATTCCTGCCCCAGTTCACAACCGATTGGAGGTCCTTTTCAAGACAGATGGCCAGGTTAGTTTTGTCAGTGATACTAGATTTGTTTTTGAGACAGGAGTAAATTGTGGTGTCATCCAGGTAGATGCCTACTTGAGAACCTATGTCATCAAGAAGATTGTTAATGAAGATAAGGAACAGAGTAGGGCCTAGAATAGAGCCTTGGGGAACACCTGCATTTGTTGAATAGGAGCTGGAGGAGAATCCGTTGAGAACGATCTTCAATACACGGTTTGACAGGAATGATTGCATTAAGTCAAACAATTGACCTGAAATTCCATAAACCTGAAGCTTGCGAAGAAGGTCGGCATGCCAAACCCTATCAAATGCTTTGGAGATATCTAGAGCCACGGCACAAGCTTCTCTGTTATTATGAAGAGCTTGGTAAACAATTTCAGTTATGGCCATAAGCACATCAGCTGTAGAACAGGCAAAGCAGAAATCATATTGCTTGTTGGAGAGCAGATCATGGGATGTAAGGTGCTTAACCACTTAGGCGTTGATTAATGTTTCAACAAATATCCAAGACAATTATGGACATGAATGGAGGGGCCCAGGAGGAGAAACTAAAAACCAAATTGACTACATAACTATCAACAAAAGATTCAGGAATGCAATGGTTCACTGTAAAACCTACCCAAGTGCCAACTGCAGAAGTGATCATTGCCTTGTTATATGTAAACTAAGAGTGAAATTAGAGAAACTGAAGAAGCCTAATACACCACCAAATCTGTAATACAACAAACTCCTGAGCAACCTGAACCTGAAAGAAAAATATATGGAGAGTTTGAAAAGAAGATACAAAAGACATAATGGAAACTTAAAATGGGATGCACTGAGAAGCTTTAGTGACATCAGCAAATGATGTTATCCCAAAGGAGAATGGACAAAGAAGAAAAAAACACATGGATGACTTTTGAGAGTCTCAACATGATGCAAAGGAGTTAGAAAAACTCTGCCAAGATACAGAACAGAATACAGAAACCTACACAACAAACTATGGACCAAATGCAGGCAGGCTAAAGAAGAGTGGCTAAACAAAAAAATGTACAGAAATAGAGAGATTGAGTAGAGCACCAACATAGGAGATATGCTTAAACAAATAAGGGAACTAACAGGACAGAAGACATGCTCATCAACAGGCTGCATAAAATTAAAGGATGGTACACTCGTATTAGAGAAGGAACGAATTTTTCAGCTCTGGAACAAATATATTGGAGAACTCTTCCATGATAAAAGAGAACAATCAGCAATATACAGAACTACCGATGGGCCTGAAATTCTAAAAATCAAAGTAGAAGCAGCACTGGCGAAATTGAACAGAAACAAGGCAGCAGGGCCAGATGGAATTGTAACAGAAATGCTGACAGCCTTAGATGACTTTGGCATAGACAAGATTACAGAAATAATAAATGAAATCTACAACAGTGGAGATATACTGGAAGATCTCAGCAGATCTATTTTCATAGTACTGCCTAAGAAATCAGGCACAAACAAATGTGAACTCCACCAAATAATCAGCCTAATGAGCCACGTCACAAAACTCATCATCCGTATTCTGATCAATACAGCATGTGGCAGAATCAGGCTAGAGATAAGACAAGAACAGTGTGGGTTCATTAAAGACACTGGAACAAAGAACATGATATTCATGCTCAGAATGTTATCAGAAAGAACAATACAAATGCAGAAGGATGTGCAACTATGTTTTATAGACTACACAAAGGTGTTTGACAAAATACGCCACAAAGATCTGTTGGAATTGCTTGGCAACCTTGATATATTTGGGAAAGATATTAGAATAATCAAGAACCTATACTGGCAACAAACAGCCTGCATGTGGATAGAGAATGAGTTGAGCAGATATACAAAAATAAAAAGAGGTGTAAGGCAAGGATGTGCCTTCTCACCAGACTTATTCAACATATACAGTAAGGCAATTCTGAGAGAACTGGAAATCCTACCAGGATTCATCATTGGCTGTGACAATCTTAACAATATAAGATATGCAGATGACACAGTGCTGATAGCAGACATGGGAAGGAAATAACAAAATCTCCTACAGAAGGTAGCAAAGGAGAGCAAGAAGAAGGGACTAAGCATAAACTACAAGAAGACAGAATACATGGTCATCAGTAAAAAGATGAAATGTTATTTACAGATTTTAGACACTAAAATCAAGCAGGTGCAGAAATTTAAATATCTGGGAAGTGTTCTGACAGAGGAGGGTAAGTGCGACACCGAGATCCAAAGACATATTGGGATAGCCAATGACACATTCCAAAAGCTAGGCAAGTTATTATGAGACAGGAGGATTTCATTGGTAACAAAGAAAAGAGTACTGAAATGTTGCATGATATCTGTCTTCCTTTATGTTCAACAGTTTCCTCAAAGATGAAGAAGAGACTCAAGGCAACGGAGGTCTGATTCTACAGAAGGATGATAAGGATACCATGGACTGAACATGTGAGCAACGATGAGCTTTTGTAGAGGATACAAACAAGGAGGAAGCTTATACTTAATATCAGGAAGAGGCAGCTGAAATTTCTGGGACACGTAATGAGAAAGGAGGGCTTGGAGAATCTGATACACACAGGGCAGATAGTGAAAAAGAGAGACAAGGGAAAGCAATGCATAACATATTTAGAAGGCTTAAACAAGTGGATGATGGGACAGGGTTTTGGAGAAGTAGAAAAAGGACAAAATATATTGAGAACTACAAGGATTATGGGGGAAGTGGAGAGCCATGATCGCCTACATCCTGAAGGGACACAGCACCTAAGAGAAGAAGACTGTGTAGTCTTTTTCAGATATATATTGCATTTGGTAAGCTTCAGCTAATTTTTAAGAGAAACCAGATTGGGGATATTTTATCATTTTTTACATTTATTCGCATGATTATGGATTTGAGCTTATTACTATAACTTTCTGCTATTTTTTCTCCTCTCAAAGCCTTTCATTAGGTTTGAACTCATTATCATAGCAACAAGAACCAATATTGATATCCACCAGATAGTCTAGCAGTCAGATTTACAAAACTTACTTTATTTTTTACATCTGTTACCCTTACTTCTTTAATGCTATAAAATTGAAAAATTCATTTTTGTATTGCTTATTGTGAAGGTCCAGTGGAGTAATAGTGACTCAGATTAAGGAATTGGAAAGCCGAGTTTGAATTCCAGTCAAGTTCATTACATTCACTTATGTGCTAATACCCTTGGGAAAGGTATGAAACCATCTCTTCTCCACACTCCTTTCCAGGTAAAATAGCAGGGCAGACTGGGTCTTACTGACTTGAGTGGCAATCAGTTTAGGAGAAGGGAACTGAATTAAAACTAGATCATACTATCCTAAAAGTGTGTATACATGAGGCTGGGAGGGGTCACTTGTGAATCCAAATTCCCACTCCTACTAATAGCACGTTAGATGAGGTGTTAAAAGGAGCCCAATGTTCCATGGGGAATGAGAGAGACTAACTAATATTTATATTAGTTACAAGCAGAAGTCTTTGGAGAATTTAAATAATAAATTATTTTTTGTAAAACGGGACCCCCAGTTACTGAAAATCTCCTCTGAATTGGGGGAAAAAATGCAATAAAACTAAGACATTATTTAATTAGAAAAGCTTTGGGTCCTGTCACTGGATCTAACTAACACCTTTATCCACTGTGCCATGTGTGTATGAATTTCTGGGTATTATAAACCTAATGTCTTCAGCAACATTTTTCACCAGTGCTCATATTGCAATTTTTGCTGTTATTATTGCATGTTTTTCACCAGAGCTCATATTGCAATTTTTGTTGTCATTATTATAACTTTTCTCTGGCACTCCTTATTACTGGTTCCCATATTGTATTCATTTCTATGCTTGGTCAGCTCAGGAAATTTTTGTGGTCTAGCATATGTGCTGATTCCTTAAGTTTACAAGTTTTCCAATGGTATTCTTTGCCTATGATCTCAACCTGATCCCACAGAGGGTGGTGATCTCCCTTTTCTCTCCATATGTGGTCGGCCATGCCTGATTTTTCTATTTCCCCTCATGTTACAGCTTTCTGGTGTTCTTGAAGCCTTACCTTAAGGGTGCAGTCTGTCTCCCCTTTATATTTCTTTCCACAGCTGCATGAGATAGCATACACACAGTCTTTAGTCATGGTCTCCTCTATGGTGGGGGTGTCTTACTTGGGAGAGATATCTGCGAAGTGTTGTCCAGCATTTGAAGGTTGTCCTGATGTTATATGGACTGCAGATCCTTTGCATTTTCTCTGATAACCCCTTCACATAAGGCAGGCAGACTGTTTTCTGAGTGTTGTTGTCCTCCTACAATGAAAGCAGAATGCAAACTGTCATAGATACTAATCAAGAACAAGGATCACTTTGCACCTAAGACGTATAGGCAGTTATTGCAGCGTTACACCAAGCTACCTCACATATACGGTCTCCCTAAGATTCACAAAGACAGTATTCCGCTCAGGTTGATTGTTAGTTGCCAAGGCTCTGTGTGCCACCCTCTGAGTCACTTCCTTGTAGATATAATTGATCTATTGATCAGAAAGTCTCCTTCATATGTCCGAAACTTCACCCACTTTGTAGAAATAATCAAAGATGCTCCCATCCTATCCAACCAGATGGTGAGCTTGGACATTATCACCAGCAATGGCGAATATATACATGGAATACTTTGAGGAAATGGCATTAGAATCTATATCTCTAAAGCCAATTCTATGGTTAAGGTACGTAGATGACACCTTCATACTCTGGCCACACCAGGAAGATGTTCAGGTTCTACTGGACAATGTGAACTCAATAAGACCTTCGATACAGTTCACAATGGAGAAAGAGATAAATATCTCAAACAGAGCATGGGTTCAAGATATCCGTATACCGTAAACCGACATTTACCAGACAGTACCTCAGTTTCAACTCCCACCATCCATACAGCATAAAGAAAGGGATTGTCTGCTGCTTACAACACCAAGCAAAAGTCATAAGTGGCGACCCAGAGACATTAGATAAAGAATTGGTCAGTATAAGTAGTACCCTACAACATAACAACTACCCTGGGTACATGGCAGCAGCCCAAAAAAACTGGGATAGGTGGGTACAAGAGGAGAACAACAACACTCAGAAAACAGTCTGCCTGAAGGGGTTATCAGTAATAAGAAGTGCCAGAGAAAAGCAATAATAACAACAAATAATTGCAATATGAGCACTTGTAAAAAAGATTGCTGAAGACATTAGGTTTATAATACCCAGAAATTTATACACAGATGTCCTCAAGGACAAATGGCACAGTGGATAAAGGTGTTAGTTAGATCCAGTGACAGGACCCAAAGAGTGTGAGTTCAATACCCAGTTAAGAGAACTTGGAGAGGGAATTAAGCAGGAGATAACTGATAACTGACCACCATTAGAAATAAAGGGTCCAGTTTGACATTCCACCCACCTGAAACGACCAAAACATTGTAATAAATATGGTGACAAAGATAAGGACAATAGTCTGAATAATGTAAATAGTGTAATTGGTTATGTTTATCAATTGTTTGATATGTAACATTGTTTGAAGAGACTTAATGTTTAATGACAGAGGTTGATATGCAGCTAAACAAAATCTGCTAACTAATGTTTAGTTTAATTATTAAACATTCAGTTAGTTGGTAGATTTTGTTTATTCAATATATAAACATTAAATCTCAAATGATGTTACACCTTAAATATTTGTTGAGTATAACCAATCACATATTTAATACACTAAATTATTTTAAAAATTCAAATCTTAAAAAATATAGCATGTTAGGCTTATCAGAAGTGATTATTTGCCTTTTTATTTTAAACTAATTTTAATTTTTAATTAAGACATTTAAAGTTTTAAAATCAGAATTGGAATTTATTAAAAATCATCATTACATTTTAGTTCAACTCTGATTTAAATGGTTTTATGCTGCATTTGTGAAGATAAAGAAAAAATGAATTTCTCTCTGTTTCTATATTACTTAAACACTTACATTTGACAGTTGTAAATAATTTATTGATGTCCCAAAAAAATATTATAATTTCTACAGTTTCTTTGATTTGTGTTACATAATCTAATGTTTATACTGAACAATAAAGTGATGCAGTTGATCAGTAACTACAAAAACTGACTTCATAAATGACTTCATAAATGAATTAGTTTTTATGACAGCAGTTTTTAATGGCAGCTGAATTCTTGTTATTTTTAGGGAATTTGTAACTTGTTTCCAACAAATATCTGAAGACAAGGACTGTCGAGCTGTTGTTATCAGTGGATCGGGAAAGGTATTTACTGCTGGTAAGAGAAAGTTTCTATACCTGCTTCAAATAAAACCTAATAAGATTAACAGTAAAATAGTAATAGAAATATTTCTTTTTAAACAATGCAATAATAGAAAATGCTCACTTGTGTATATTTGTTAAAAAGTAAATTATTTGATGCAATCTTTGTAAGTATTTTTATTGTAAAGTAAAATCGTGTAAAGTTATTTTCAGTTGTGTTGTCTGACACCATTTATTTGTAAGATAGTGAATGAGAAATATCTTTTTGAAAAAGGCTAATAAAAGCTGATTAATTAGCAAAAAGATCTCATCTGTTATCTGGTTCTTCAGTAAATTGGAAAATAATCAGTTCTTTGCTGTGGGTCAATGATTAATGACCACTAGTCTCCATATATTCAAGACTACAGGCTAGCTGAAATTAGATCACTAATGTCCATTCAAGTGGCAAAATGTTTCTTCAAATTTCAGCATTAATTTATTTTGAGAATAAAGTCAGTGCACATTTAAGAGTGACCAGAAAATTGAGAAGGATCAGCAAAATGTTCTACTGATATAAAGCCAAAAACATTTAGGGAGTGAACACATTCTCGCTTTCAAATAATAATCTACTGTTAAACTCAAGCTGCAAGAGACCTACTTACATCTGAATGAGTAGTGTTGGCAATTCCTTTTAATTATTTCTAAGCTTTTGTTAACAATCAACTCAGCATAATTAGAAACTACTAATAAAGCAATGACACCTTTCCAACTGGATAGAATAAGACAAAGAATCTGCAGTTTTATGCTCACCAGTGTACTTCATCTGCCCTGTTACATTTTTTTAAGAAAATAATGAAAAGACAAAGATGGTACAGAACAAATGAAGTACATGTTGGAGTTTTTGGGTACCTTGGTGTACTAGTGAACCAGCCAAAATTTTATAGTTCACCAATAGAAGGGTTAACCAATCAGAAAGCTCAAAATATTCAATGCGACGTGTATAAAGGCGACCATGTTTTTTCTCAAATATTCACTGGCAGCCTTTGTTCCTGAGTGTTAATCTTTAACGTTGTTTCATTGAACAGATTACGTACTGTGCTGTATTCTATATTCATAGACTATGGTGAACAGTACATAAGACACATGCACACATGTGGGTGTCTACTTCTCCCCCAACTATAGGTTAATTAGTAGGACATATCAGTAAATCATTATCTTCTAAAAATTCTTACAATCTAAACATTTTCTGGCTTTAAATAACCTGCAAAAGGTTGATAAGCCAAAAAAATTCAATCTTATGTGTGTATATATTTCTTTATAAAATGTTTAAATAGAAAAAACAGGAAAATCATAAATTAGCTGACAAACAAGCATAAAATAAGAATTTCACAATATATTTCTTTCTTTTTTTTAAATTCTTATGTGGGTAACATAACAGTTATAAACATGGAATGTGGAACTGTCAAGTTGAAGTTCTATCAGTCAGTTGTGTTCACTTCATATTAATGTGATTGGGAAAAGTATGAATCCATCTCTTCTCTCACTCAGAATCATGATCACGTATATCCTGAATGGATCTGGTATTAAAAAAATGTAACAGAACATCACATCCCTCCCAAAACAGATTGCACTGAATTTCAAAATATACTGATATAATTAAAGAAAAAAAATTAGAAATCAATTAAAAAAGCATAATTAAGCAATGTTTATTTTTGTAAGAGTCATTCAAATTTAAAGTCAATATTTTAAAATCAGTCTTTATTTAAATCATTAAGCTTTCTTCATTAAAATTAAACAATAAAAGAAACATTTGGCATTGTGTTTTGTTACAAGTTTGACCAGTCTTAATATTGACAATTTTTTTTTTTTTAATTCAGGAATTGATTTGCAATGCCTTGCCGAAATTGCAATGCAGACAGCAGAGCTTGATGCTGGAAGAAAAGCTATGACAATACGAAAAGTTATATTGGCTTTTCAAGAGAGTTTCACAGTTTTTGAAAAAGTGAGTTATGGTTTGGCTGAAATGAAAATGTAAAAATATAAGGATTACAATAGTGTTAACAGCAAAAGTAATAGCAGCCAGGAAAGTTTGAGTTATCTGGTGAATAAGTTTAAAACTAGTGCTTATTGTGGAATAGTTAACGATAACACCCAGTGTTGCTATATACAAAATTTTGAAAAATAAAATCTGTAATGTGAATATGAAATAAATGGTGGTGATTTAAGAATAGCTATGTCAGCTCAAAATCAGAAGACTGCAAATGATTCAAGCAAAAGAAAAATTTTGCAAATCTTTATCCAGTTGTGTGTAGCAATCATATTTTAATTTACACAGCTACAATTCTGGTGGTAGGGAATTGCAGATGGAATCACGGAATTGTTAATCTTAAACAGAATCTGGGTTTTTAATGTAATTTACAACAATAAATAACAAATTAATTATTTGATTTTTTTTTTTTTTTAATTCTTTCAAAACTTCATAACTGTTTCTCCAATTTTGTTAAACATTTTAATATAGGTACCCCCATGAGATCGCCAAAAAAGAGCATAGCATGATAAAGATGCCAAACTTGATGAAAACAAAATTTTATCATCTTTGTTATTATTAAGAGGAAAGAGCAAAGTTTTTTTTTAATTATTTTTTAAAATTTTTCCTTCTTTTTAGAACAATCTAAATTTTGATTAAAAAAAACATTGTTTCTTTTTGTATCACCCAGAACTAGTAAAATAACATACAATTTTTAGCACATTTTTTTTTTGTATGACAGACATTAATTTGGAAAATCTTGTAAAAGTAAAAATAATTGTCGGATGTTTATGAAACTTTCAAAAACTATTCACAGATGATCGAAATTATTATAAATGTGTTTTTTTTTAGTTTTTTTTTAAAGTCATAGCAGAAATATTTTTTTATATTTATACCCCCCCTTCATAACTAATTTTATGAAAACTCTAGAAATTCGATCGCATTCAGTTTAGTGATTATATAAGTTAAAAGTACAAGGCTTTGAGGAAAGCAAATCATGTTTTTTTTTTTTTTGGGACCCTCTCTACCTGAAAATCAGACCTGAATTGTAACATACAAAACTCAATAAAACAAAGATATTATTTAATTTCAAATGCTTTTATTAGCTTTTAGTTGTTTTCATGAATACGGACAATATTTTCTGAAAGCAAAAAATTTTTTCGATGAAAAATGAATTTTTAATACAATTATTTGTTATTTCTTTAATTATTTTAGATTTTTACATTTAAGTTGTTAAAATATTATAAAATTAGTTGAAAGTTGCATTTAATTTCGTAAATGTCCTTATGAGATAGATCATTTTTTAGCGCTTTGTAAATTGTATCACTTCGTCCAATCAGAAGACCCACAGTAATTAAAAAATGTAATTTTGTATCCATAAAAAAAAGTTAAAATGGCTGTAATTAAAATGTATGGAAGGTCACAAGCAATAAAACTTCATGTGGCTTGAGTGTAACCGTTCTCTGCTGAATGTCCATTTCATTATTGCAAATTCTTTGTGCAAAACACGTTGAGCATTTTGAATTAGCATTTTTACTAATTAAAAAAATTTGAACACCATCCTAAGCCATTTTCAGCAGCAACATTACTACATTTTTAAAAGTACCATTTATTTCATTTACATATTTCATTGCAATTTCAATTTTGTGAAGTTGTTTTACAGTTTTCAGTGAGTCATCTTATTTCAATTTTTCCATTACCCGGCTTCATTTTCATACTGAAATTAAAGTAAGTACCATTTGATTTGTTTTTAATTTTTTTTATATAGATACTTTTTTATAGTTTTTGAATTTGATAATTTTCATTGAGATTTTAATTCATTTCATTTACATATTTTTTCTTATAAATAAGAAATAGCAAAGAAAACATTCCCCACCAAGCACTGATTTTTTTGTCATCATCCATTTATTTATCAAAATACCACTATAAATTTTTATGTATTCTTTTTTTTTGTTTGTTTCAAGGAATATTTACAGTGCTTTGTGATTCATACTTTGCTCTTTATTAGTTTGTTTCATTTCTAGAATTGAAAGCCAATGATGACATTCTTTCTTCATTCAATTTATTCAAGTATTAATTATTAATCTCAGTTATGACATTTTTCCATAAATGAAATATCAAAATTAATAATAAAATGAATAGAAATACAAATAACACACTAAAATGTAATAAATGTACATAAAATTATAGTATTTTATGTACACTTCTGATAAAATTTAATAAATTAATTAGATACCTTTCTTATGAAATTTAATCTCACTTCTTATTTTATTCTTATTACTCACCTTCTTATTTTAATTTCTTTAGAATATATTTTTCATAAAGCATCATAAATGTAAAGGTGAAAGCTAAATACAAAAAAAAAATAGAGCGCTGAAAGTTTTCCTTAAAAATAACAAGATAAATAATTTGTTCACTTAAATCTAAATAATTTCACTTTTCTCCTTCCATAGAAAAACTTATCTTCATGGAAGCTGTCAATATGCAATGAAATTGTCATTCATCACCTGTCAAGTGATGCAAAATGTTATGACCTGTTTTGTTTTATTTTCAAACTACATCTTTTCAGTGCAGAAACTAAGTAATACTTGTTTCAAAGTATTTTAAATAGACATAATTTTTGATTTTCTTAAAATAAGTTTTGAAAAAGTTATAATTGATTTTTAAAAGAATTTCAAACTGAGATTTTCATTTTTTTTATAAAATGAAAAAAAATGGTTGACATGATTGATTATCTGTCAATTTTTCTGACTAAAAAAAAACAAGATTTTTAACAAAAATTTTGGACATGCTAAGAATGATTAAAAAATGTAAAAAAATACCCCCAAAATATTTTGATCTTTCCTCTTCATAATGACATAAACATTTAGACAATAAAATTTTGTTTTCGTCAAGTTTGGTGTCTTTTTCATCATGCTATACTCTTAGCAATCTCATGGAGGTACCTATTTTAATATAACAATAACATATTGTAGTTATTTCCTTAAAATTTGTTTTTCTAAATCTTTGTAGGTATTTACCTTATAAAGCCCAAGAAATAATTAAGAGCAAAAATGTTTACATAAAAAAAGAAAAGTGGATTGTTGATTTTTTTTTTAAAATATGTTCGCTAGTCTATTTTTAAATATTTTATAACTTTTCTAAGAAACTGTTGCAAACGAGATGTCAGTCAGAAGATCACGGCTCAGTCATGGCTACTGAAATCCATTGCTAAAGTGGAAATGGAAGACAGACACTAAGTGATGTCAAAATTGGAAGGTGGGGAGAGAGAGAGAGACAGAGAGAGAGAGATGAAGATCAAACCAATAAGTTTAACAAATTCATTTCCTTTAGGCCTCACACAATTTATAAGGAAAAGATTCTAAACAAATTGTAAGCTTGTTTTATGAATATGAAAAAATTACATGTTGTATTTAGAGAAGAGATTTGAAGATTAGATATTTCCCAAATTAAAAAATTAGCATTTTTAAATTTGAGCAGTATTTCAATTTGGGATAAGTTGTTTTATTTAAATTTTGAATTAATATGTCTAATTTGTTTTTGATATTTTGTTACAAAGATCCACTTATTATGGTTTAATTACTGTTTTAAAAAAATTTATCAAAATTTTTGACTTTATTCAGATACGTATTATTGAGATTCAAGTTATGTGCTGTTGATACTTTAAATGTGATTTTTATATTATGAATCAATAATTATATATCAATCTAAATCCTTTTATTAAAAAACCAAAAACAATTTGAATGTGTTTTGAACATATTCTTAAAGAAGGAAGCTCTGATTAAAACTTCTATCTCAAGGATATGTACTGTAACATTCCATTGTTTTATTGTCTAGTCATGTCACAATATTTTTTTTATTTTTACATATAATTTATTATTGCACTTGGGTTTTAACATTTAAAAAAGATTTGTAGATATTTGCTATTTCTTTATATGCAATAAAACTTTGAATTATATTTTTGTTTTCAGTTTTAATAATAATTATAGCATATTGTATTGCAATTTTCTCATGCTATAAAAATGGAAAAAATGAAATTTACCAAAAGTGGAAACAGAATCAAGGAAAAATTTAAACAGAAAATTGGGGACCCTATGGTGGTATAATGGAATCCTCCCTTGATGAAAGTCTGTGGAAGTGACAATAAAATCTCATGCTGATAAAGATAGTAAAGGGTTTGTATGCACTCATTCCCAAGTACAGGGAAGCAGCTAAGGGAATCCATATGAAATATTAACAATGCACAATAACCTCTCAAAATTAATATTCTGTAATAAATTTTCTTGTTAAATGACATCTCTGTTTTAAAACACTGTCTGGTCTGGCTGAAAATGACTTTTTGGCCAAGGTTGGGATCATCTTGTTTTTCTCCACTCAAATTTAGAAAACCTGTTAATTAAGAATAAGAGATAACTCAGAAATGTCCAATATTTCCCCAAGGCACAATTTCAGATAGGCTTTGTTTTAAACACTTTTTTTAGTAGATTTCTCAAACTTGGATTGCATCCCATACATTTTCTGTGTTTGTTGAATGCCTTCCAGAACATTGAATAATTTCAACAAATTCCAAACCAAGTTTGAAACATTTGTATCAAAATTTTCTCTGGGTTTTACTCACTGTAATCTCTCCAAGAGCTTTCTTAATCATTTGAGTAGTTGCCACAGATAAATGTCCAAGTTTCAAGTAAAAACTGATGCATATTTATGCAACACACAAGCTTGCACAATGATTTCTCATTGCTGACTAAGTAACATCAAGGGAGAATGTCAAGGGCATGATATGGTCTCATCTGATTAGCTGCCAAATTATATCAAAGCCACACAACTAGTTCACAAGACATTCAAAATAGAATGATACTTTCTGGAGAGACCACACCACATCCCATACACACATGTATATATATATATATATATATATATATATATATATATATATATATGTGTGTATATGGAAATAAAATTGCAAAGATGATGCCAATTTTGATGTAAGTACAGGATATGCATGCTAGGGGCTAGTAGATATTTGATAAAATTTTCATCTCTTTTTCCAACACAGGAAAACTTATACCAGTGCACTGACTGTGCATGAGCTTTAATCAGTGATGTATGCTGCAGCAATAAAGTTCATTGTGATGAGGGAGTCCAGCGTAGGCAGCTGTCATGCCATGGAGGTGCACATATTCTTTTTTTTTTTTTTTTCAATTAGAGCATTTTGAGTGGTCAAACTACGGGTCTTTAAGAGGCTAGATTGTTATTCATTTTGTAGAATTTCTGCATATGTTGAACATAATGCATTGACAATAATGCTCTAATGAACATTCCTACACATGTAGACCAGATTCTGGACAACCACATAATACAGACACTTGCCAAGATATACATTGTAAAGGCAGAATAAGTCAACCATGTAGTATCCACAACACAGATCAAACAAATGTAGCCCCCAGCAGTGTCATCACTATTAGTTAGTATGAAAAATATCACTCGGTTTTTGACAAATTACAGTAAAGCATTTTTTATATCAACTTTATTGAACAACTTGTTTTGTTCTACCATTATCCATCATCTTTCAGAGAATTTCCTCATTATATCTTCTCAGAACTTTTATCCTTATCAGCAAACTACTCTAGATGATTTTTTTTTTTTTTTTACAATCTTACATGATTCCATTAAAGAATATTCTGTAAATTACTAATTTGAAGATGCAGGGAAAACTTAGCAATCAAACCAGGGTAAAATTTAAACTGGTTATTATAATAAATGTCAAAAAATAAAAAAAAAAATTGATGCTAACAATTAATGTTTTTCTTTTTCTCTTTTTCTCTCTCTCTCTCTCTCTACCTACCTACCTAACTACCGACTCATTGTAATAGTGTCCAAAACCAGTCATTGCTGCAGTCCATGGAGGCTGCATTGGTGCTGGAATAGACTTAATCACAGCTTGTGATATGAGGTTCTGTTCCAAAGATGCTTGGTTCCAAATCAAAGTAAGTGATGATTGATTTCATTTCTATTTATTATTGCAACTAAAAGAGCACCATGTTTGTCATCTACGCATTTGCCTTTGAACATTATTATTAGAAGTGGTTGCCATTGCTTAGCTTTCAGAACAGAAATATAAACCAAATAAAGCTTATGAAGAAATGTATAAATTGTATAAATTATAATTGTTTTAAGTTTCATTTCTTTAAAGACGGTCACTGTGTGAATGATTTAATAACATTTGTGTTGATAAATATATTAAGATGTACAGTAAAGTAAAAGTGTATGCTTTGAGATTGAAATTGATTGCCTTAGCTCTTATTTTTTGGGCTGCTTTTTATCCAATATTTTAAAACTGATACAAAATGTTTAATATTATTATGCAAGTCAATGTTTTCATGATGTATTTATATGAGTAATGTATTGTATGAGTTTCAAATTATTAGTCCTTATTAAAAATATTGATAACTTGTTTTGAGGATGTCAGATTTTATTTTGCAAAGTGCAACATAAATATTTATGCATATTTGAATAACACAATATTCCATATACCTGAATAGATTAATTTATTATTTTATATTTTAATATACATTTCTTGACATTCTATAACCTTCACCAGTCTTTCATTCATTGATTTAACTTCTTTATATTTTAACTTTAACATTACTGGCAATAGTTTTCATTGCTTCCTAAAGATTTTTGCTTGAATATATATTTTTTTTCATTCTCATGTACATCTCTTTTAATGGTAGGCCCAAATTTTCTATCAGTTAATATGTGGAGATGCTGGCGGGGGAGGGGTCATTCCATACATTTGGCATCTTAGAAACCTTTTTTGATAAGGATTTGAAAGAATTATACTTTTAGTTTAAAGCTTCTTATACTGCTTAAACATCTTTCAAAGACCTTAGTATCAAGATAAATGCAGTGAATTTTTCTATCAACCTATAATTTTATTACATACATTACTAACCCAAAACATTACTCCACTGTTGTCTTCTCATTCATGTTAGCTGAAGGACCATTGGGTCCTTCTGGTAAATAGTCAGCTAAAAAATTAAAACCAACTCTTAACAAAATTAATTATGAATTGAGTACAAATGTTCTGAAATGCTTATAGTATATAGTTCTTTAGAAATATCTACATAAAAACTAAACGTGTTTTTTAAAAAAACACGCAAATTATAACCTACCACAAGAATTCAATTCATAACTAAGTTATCTCCCCTACATTATAATCTTTACAATATGGAAAAATTTTTAAAAATTATCATTTGTGACTTTGTGCATGAGTGGAATTGTTAATGGTTTAACTACAAAAGCAAAAATTTACTTCACACACACAACTATTTGTCCTAGACATCATAATGTTGTGAATATATCGAAACTACTCAGGAAAATAAAATGAATAAATTGAACCATGGTATTTTCCTTGCGCTCTTTAATCATGAACCAAATGAAAATATGCTGCCAAAATATACAGAAAATAAATACATATATATATATATATATATATATATATATATATACACACACACACATACACACAGTTGCAATAAAAAGTTTGGTACCACCTTGAATTATTTCTCTAAGTTCATAAAAAAACTAATTTTTCATATTTGGATAAAAAAAATTCACCTATTATATATATATATATATATATATATAACATTATGACATTAATGTGTAATTGAAATTAATTTTCAGAAACTATTAAAATGCCAAAATCTAAACAGATTAGTATTGAAAAAAAGAACCCAAGTAGAAATTTTTTCTATAGGAGGGTATTTCGAACATTAGATTGGTAGAAAATTACAGATATCAAAAAATGGGATACATTATTGCCTTCACTGACTTCCAAAAACTGGCACAAATGTTGATAAAAAAAAGATCTGGGAGGCCCAGAGCAACATCTATTGTGGAGGACAGACAGTTGATTGTGTCTAGCAAAAGGAACAGAAGAAAAACAGCTCCCCAACTAACTGCTGAATCTAATTCTACATGTCAACATCTAGTATCTGTTCAATTTCTAAAAAGCTGGATTATAGATCCCTCATATTTTGTTCTACTTTCTACTCATTATGAAGGATTCTATCTTTTGACTCAAACTGAGAATAAAGAAAATAAATGTTAATGATTTTTTAAAAGTTACTCATTTTTTTTTAGTCATGAGAAATGCCAGCTTGGAAAAAAATAAGATTTCATTATTTAAACATACACACAAATACACATACATATATTTCATTCTTTCGCTTTTCAGGTCTGATGAACCCTTAAACGGCAAAATGCATTATAAAATATATTTGTAAACAAATATACTTTAATGGACATTTCCAATTGTCAAAAATTTTAAAAGCTTTATCTGGATTATATATCCTAATTTTAAAACACATACACACACACACTCACTCACTGTAACTATAAGCAGGATCAATTCTCCCTTAGAAACAAAGAAATACACAACTCCAGTCAACCAAAATAAGAAAATTATCTACTATAAAAAATTTAGAAGAACTAACCTTAATGTCAGAACCAAGAACAAAATCCAAATTACAAAGAACCAATATTATTTATAAATTCACATGTTTATTAAGGAACTGTATTCCTAATCAAAACAAATTCATGAATAATTATATTGAATATACCACTACATGCCTATCAAGAAGATTTCCATTATATCTCTATGGCCATAGCTCAATTAGGACCCATTTAAACACATACATACCTACCAAACACCATCCGCATTATACTCATATAAAATACAACTATAAAAGCCTCATTCACATGTTAAAAAAAAGGCTAAAAATAATGGAAACATTAATAATACAGGAGAAAAAACTAACACTCAATAACATCAACTATGACTATGGCCACAATATGCTGAATAAAAAAATACATTTTATAACTATAGATGCATGCATAAAAATCTATACATTCAGTGGAAAATAAAAATAACCCTTGATAATGATGAAACAATTAAATAAAAAACTTACTTTCAGTATCTTATCAGTTGTCTTTAATGAAACTTGTATAAAAGTGGGATTGCAGCCCAAATGCACAATTATTTTATTTATATATATATATATATATATATATATATATATATATATATGTGTGTGTGTGTGTGTGTGTTTTCTTTAATCTGTTTGCATTATTTTTCTATTTCTACATTTTAGGAAGTAGACATTGGTATAGCAGCTGATGTTGGAACACTTCAGAGATTGCCCAAAATAATTGGTAATGACAGTTTGGCTAGAGAACTGGCCTACACTGCAAGGCCTTTCTATGCAGATGAAGCCAAAGAAATAGGTCTTGTTAGGTACGTAATATCATCATAGTTCAGAATTTACTGGAATAAGTTTGTCTATATTTCTACAGTGGATAAAGGCGTTGGTTAGATGAAGCCAAAGAAAATAGGTTTTGTTAGGTGATTGTATTAACATTTTAGTTCATTATTTACTTTGAATAGTTTAACTAGTTGTAAATGTTTTGTATTTGTTTTTAACATTTTTGAGAGCATAGAAGACTTTGTTTTTAAACTCATTCTCTGATTTCAATTATTGCAAATCATTCCTTGTTACTTTTTTTTAAAGTTTTTGCTTACTGAAAACAATGTATTGAATAGTAAATGTTATCTGTTATTATAGGTTTACATTTGTCAATTTGAACAAAATGTGTATTACATCAATATGGCCAACTGCAAGTTCACTATTTCAGAGAAAGGAAAGAAAAAAAAACTAAGATAATAAGAATTGTGTGTATGTGCGTATATATATATATATATATATATATATATATATATATATATGACTGTCATGAACAGACAAAAATTAGTTTTATTATTACCCACTCATGATAATAAAAAGTAAAAATGAAAAACAGGCTAGCTAACCGGTTTCATACCTCGCTCAACAGACCTAAATCGTGGTAAATAGAGTAAATTATATAATAAAAAAAAAACTAAAAACAAAAAAAACAATGGACTAAGTGTATTGGTGGAAGAAAAAGAAATATTTAGATGGTAATTAGTTGGAGGCCTAATATAAAATCCTTTTGTTTACAAAGAGAAGGCTTTAATGATAGAATACCACCACTTTCAGGTGGTAATTTGAGTGGGACTTAATTTGATGGTAAAAGTGTCACCACTAAATCTAACAGCACAATTATGGCTATTTATAAGGTGTTCTGCGATAGAAGACCTGTATGTATTGGTCAAAATGTCCAAGGGTGTGTACTTAAGGTTTCGGATTTTCGCTGGAATGTGTTGTTTTATTCTAACATCCAGCCTGTGCATCGTTCTCCCTATGTCGTGGGGACCGCAACTACATTTAAAAGAGTAAATTAATACCTATTATGATGTTGCGGGAGAACATCCTTATGCATAGACGGAAGGACAGGCCTGGCAGAGAAAACAACACAAGTGTTAGTGGCAAAGTAACAATGTCGAACTGCGGTGGAAACCTGTTTAGCCGACCTTTCACTGATACTACCTAACCAAGGAAGGCGTAGGTACACAGGACATCTTTTTGCTATAGCAGGTTTGACTTTGTTAAATTCAGCAATTTTGTTCTTAATAATTGCTTGAACAATGCCTAATGGGTAGGCATTGTTGCAGAGAGAATAAACCTGAGTTCATCATCCAACTTGATGTCCGAACAGATCATAAGAGCCGTACAGGTAAGGGTCTTAATTAAATTAATTTTGCACTTCCTGAGACAAAAAGAATCCCAACGGATATACAAACCAGTAAATGTCAGTTTACAGTAAACAGAAGTAATAAAACCTGACGCAGAACTGCTGATGAGTACATCGAGAAAGGGAAGACACGAATCGACCTCCTTTTCCTGTGTAAATTTCAAGGCCAGATGCATATTGTTAAGGGACACAAGGAATTGGTCTGCTTTAATGTCGTTATTGAAGAGACAAAAAGTGTCATCGACGTAACAGAAATAAACGTCAGGTTTATCAGATTTTAGTAGTACATTCTCTTCTTGGAACCCAACAAAGATATTTGCTAAAATTGGCCCCAAAGGGGAACCCGTTGAAACACCATCAGTTTGCCTGTACATGATGCTGTCGAAACTGAACTCAGCTGACATCATGGCAAATTTCATCAGTTCAACAAACACGTCTTCCGGAATAACGGGCGGAGACACTTGACTACGATATAGGGCATCATCACATATATCGATAGTCTCAGCAAGTGGAACGCGACTAAATAAACTGCTGATATCATATGAACACATAAATTTATCCATAGACGAATAATGCTGCATAAAACAGGAGAATTCAAATGAATCTTTAATACTGTGACAGAGAGAGAGTCTGGGAAACACACTCACACGTATATTTTTTTTTTAGTGAAATTGGAGTAGATTCGAATAGCAAAATTAAATCGGAGCATTTCGTTTACTGATAGGGAAATCTGATCTAGGGCAGAAGTTGTACCCATTGAATCTGGGTCATCAGGAGACAATGGAAATGTTCGAAATAATTTTTATCGATTAAAATTAAAATAGAGCTGAGTAAGTGAGAAGGAACTTTGGAATTCACATGATTTTGGTTGAAGCAGCCAGAACCCCCATGAAAATTGTGTGCGAAGTAGTAGGGCCAAGGGTTGGTTATAACCAGCCTGGTTTATCTATATAAATGCGTAGTTATGCTGAAAAACACAGATGGGAGAAAATTCTTGAAGAGAGAATTGGTCTGGGCAAGCGATGCGAGGAGGAATGCCACTATAACTTTAAGCACCGCACAGAAATCTTTATCACTCCATCACAAGAGTCATATATCATCCTGAGACGATTTAACAACAAGATAATCACTTACACGCTCTCTCTGTCTAGAATCCAGTGTATGAGTTTGTTTTTTTTTTACTTTTCTTTTCTGTAACCCATTTCTCTTCTCTACTATTCTTTTCTGGTATATAAAAGACATTAACAATTCAACCATTGAATCGCTGTTTGTCCGGCTTTCTGCAGATATTAATTTTTTTTGCTGCATTCTAAATTTCTTAGCGCAGACTCCCCAGCCGTGTCTACATCTTCAGTCAACTGTGAATGGATGAACATCACTTCTGTTTTCTGGATCAAACCAAACACAACATGGGCAGGAAGCAGGATTAAACCAGTGGACCAGATGCTCAGGTGACCTTAAGTTTGGTTAGGACTGAGTAGATACCTCAACCTCAAAAGTAAGACGCCAGAGGTTGAGGGGCCGGGGCGAAAGTGTTAGAATACAAGCAGAGTTATACTGCTCCAAAACCGGTTGCCGTATAGTGGAAAGCCATTTAGTCACACCATGTTGAGAAGACCCTATCATAGATAGAATAGGTCTCAATGGTGTATCAACTTTATGAGTTTTGGGCAAGCCATAGAGACGTGGACAAATGGAGCCCGAGGGTCTAATCAAATTTGAAATATCAGTGGACAATTTTCCACATTTTACCCACTTAACCAGATGTTTTTGGAACTTAGCCTCAATAGATAATGTAGAATCAAATTTATCTATTAGGCCTAACCGGACAAATTTAGAGGAATCCCCAAGAATTCTCATCATCTTGTTAACATAATCCTGATAGTTAAGGATAACGACACCAGTACCTTTGTTGGGTTTCATAATTACCAAAGCTTTATTATTACATGAAATAGCTCTACGTTCCACTTTGATTCATTATGTGAAACAGGAGTACTTGCATAACAATGTGCTATTTTATTCAACTTTGCCTTGAGGTTGCTAACTTTGCAAGCAGATTCAGGTTGGAGCTTAGCTAGCCACGCGAACAAAACTTCAAACTTTGAATACACCTCCTCTCACTTAATATGTGAGAGAGGAATACAAAAATCCAATCCGTGCGAGAGGATTGATAGTTCAAACTCGGATAACTGATATGAAGACAGATTCAAGACATTTTGACCAATACCAGGGTTAGCAGAACATCCAATTTTTTTATAAATTAAATGTTGCAACTTATTCTGATGTTTAATCGTAAGTCAAGAACGACTACATTCGTGAATAAGTGCTACATAACAGACGAAACGAATTCTATCAAAATAGGTAAGTCTGCCCATTGTATTACTCCTTAATTGATAATATTTCTTATACAAATTGGCAAGACTATAAGAAAGCTTAGATATAAAATTAGTAATAAAAGCTTCCTCGATTTTTGGTTCAGGATATAAATTGGCCCTTTTAATTCTAAAGGGAATAAAAGGGGGAAAGACTTTATTAGTCAAGCACAAATGAAGAAAAGATTTGTTAGCAGTGGCAGTTCTTATTTTACTCTTAACTTTTAACAAAGAATTCAATCTACTGATTAAATCAGGTGGGGACCCTGTCTTAAAATATTTAAAGATATGTTTGGTGGTACAAAATTTTATGACTTCCATGAACAGACAAAAATTGATTTTATTATTACCACTCATGATAATAAAAAGTAAAAATGAAAAATGGGCTAGCTAACTGGTTTTGTACCTCACTCAACAGAGCTAAATTAAATTGATATATATATATATATATATATATATATATATATATATTATAAATTAATTGATTTAAAATATGGTTTTAAGAACACCGGATTATATATCTTACTGTTCTTTCCTTTTATTTTATATATATATATATATATATATATATATATATATATCCATTTGATTATATTTTGCTCTTTTCAGTAGAGCACTTTTATAGCCACCAAGCAATATATACTAATTATCACTTGGTTATGGAGCTTTATATCATAACTACTCCACCAAGAACATTCTGATCTCCAGCAAAAAGGTTATGAACTAACCCTTTTACACAAAATAGAGAATGTCATTAAGAGGATGATGTAGAAGATTGTAAGTGTAAGCGTTCTGAAAGCAAAGGAAGTATTTGTCGCAGATTACTTCCACAACACAAAGAAAAATCACTGTAAGTACAGACTCGAATATTGGGGGCAGAAAGAAATGATGAAAACTCGATTCGCCGGTACTATCTCAAATCACAATGCATGTAACCAGTCAGAAAAATAATTCACTCTCTAACAAACGCCGAAGCCAAAAAGGCCCGAATATTCCGCCTCCGAACCGAGAACACCAACTGCTTTTATCGGCAGAACCTATTTTTTTCATTCGTCGACAGCTGGGATAGGATGCTCCATAATTTGCATATCAAAATACTGTTATAGCAACACCTGCAACGGACTTGTTTCTTTTTTGTCACTTTTTCCGTCGTAGAATACACGCGATGCGCTGTCGCTTGGTTTGACAAGGTAAGTCGCCGTTTTCTTTGCTATAAGATTTTTGCTGACTACTTTTTGGTCATGTTTCTTCGGCAGATCGCACACAAAACACAAACTTTTTTCCGGGGTACCTGACTATCTCTTTCACTACAAAGATATTCTTCACCAAATGCAAACATGAACATTTAAATCAGAATGAAAACAAATCTTTTGGATTTAAATCACAAAAACCACCACCCTGTGATAAGCAATTCCAAGGCTTCAAGAAGGAATTATTCTCTGTTATTAATAAGATCAAATTTACCAACTCTACTAATAACCTTGGGAAAAAAATTTAAAAAGACATTGCCAGCATCAAGCAATCAGATAAGAATATCATCAATTCTGATAAAACGGGCAAGTATTATCAGATCAATGTTGACACATATCACAAAGCCATTAATAGGGAGGTCAATAAAACTTACAAAAAAGCCCCACAGCACTCAGAATTTTCCATCAATAGTGAGGCCAAACAGACAGCCAAAGAACTAAAAATCAACGATAGTCTATAAATTGCACAAGCAGCAGGCATTCATTACAACCAGTGGCATGATACCACTGATGCCATTGATTGGTTCACAAAAATAAATAAGAAAAGTGAATGATCTTTTCTCCAAATTGATATTTGCAACTCCTACCCATCAATCACTGAGAAGTTGCTAATGGATGTGATAAACCTGGCCAACATTTACTGCTCCATAAACAAACAGGACAACATCATTAAAAAAGCCTAAAACCCATCCTGTTCCATGAAGGTTCCCTGTGGACCAACAGTAGCAATCCTGACTTTAGTATTGCCATGGGTGCATTTGATTCAGCAGAAACTTGTGAATTAGTTGATAATTTATTACTTTGGCATCTAAGGTTTATCTTCGACATTAACAACACTGGCCTCTGTAGAGATGATGGGATTATACTCCTATGCAAATCAAGCACATAAAAAATGACCACCCTAAGAAAAAACCTAATTAAATTCTTCAAAGACCACTACCACCACCAGTGCTAAAATAATCAATTTCCTGGATGTAACATTTGACCTATCTAATGGGCTTTATAAACCATATACTAAAGATTTATACAACCATAGGTATATCAGAAAGCAATCTAACCATCATCCTAGAATACTAAATAATTTACATAAATTCGTCCAATTTAGGCTGTCTACCAAATCTAGTAATAAGGACATTTTTGACAAACATAAAGGTAGAAGCACTACAATACAGTAACCATAAAATTAACCTTGAATTCTTAGCCAATAGCAATAATGATGTCAACCAACCAAAACCTTGCTAATGCAATATAATATGGTTTAACCCACCCTTCAACAAAAATGTCAAAACTAATATCAGAAAATATTTTTGGATTTAATCCATAAGCAATTCAGTCATTCCCCAATACTAAATAAGATTTTCAACAAAAACGTCAAAATTAGCTACAGTTGGGCCAAAAATATCGACCAGCACAACTGTTCCACTCTAAAAAAACACTTCAACAACCTACAAACCAGCAACATCCCCACAACTAAGGAATGCAACTGCTGAAAAAACAAACCCTTCCCATTAAATGGCAGATGTATGACCAAATCGTTAGTCTATAAAGCTGAAATCAAATATGACAAGGTCAAGTTTTATGTGGGCTCTACAGAAAATCATTGGAAATCATGCTTCTCCTACCACCAAATGACATTAGTCAATATGGATATAGTAACAGCACTGACCTCTCTAATTTTTTTAGAAACTGAAAAGTGGGAATGCATAACAAAAGCTTCAGTGGGAAAGGCAACAGGTGTAACTTATGTATTTCTGAAAAATTGATCCTAAAAAATATGAACAATCCAAATCTCTTAAACAAAAGAAGTGAGTTAATGAGCACCTGCTTACTTAGAAACAAATTTCTACTCAAGCACGTTGACCCAAATTAATATCGTCTAGCCAAGCCCAGGGACCAGAAATACTAGTATTGATATTATTAATTATTTATTTTTATTAATTTTTTACTAGATTATTTTTACTATCTTTACTATATGACTATTGTTACTGTTATTATTAGACTGTAATGTATTTAACATTTATGCTAATTTATTATTTTCATCATTATATTATTACTATCTTTACTATATAAGCAGTATTGCTATTACCTTACTTTTATTTTTTGTCTTGCTACCAGCAACATTTTTATTATTATCATTTAATATGTTTATTTATTTATTATTTATATGTTTTTATTTTATTTTAGTTTAGTTTATTTTTATAGTTTTTTATTGTTATGTATTATTTTTATTAGTATCTTAATTTTATTTTATCACTGCATATTTTATTAATATTATTATTAATTTTACTAATTTTTTTATTGATTTTCATTAAAATAAATATAGTTACCCTCTTGATCACCAAATGTTTTTTTTTTAATAATATATATATATATATATATATATATATATATATATATATAATCATATGGATGGATATATATATATATAATCATATGGATGGATATATATATATATAATATCATATGGATGGATATATATATATATATATATATATATATATATATATAATTATATGGATGGATATATATATATATATATAATGTGGACACTCAAGACCTGAAGATTGTGTTCATGCATGAAACAGACTGTGTTGACATCAGTGTCCACACTTCTTATATTTGCACATGCTCTATACGGGATATTTAGCATTTTTACCTTATAAATATAGCATACCTTAAAGCTATATATTTTAACATTCACACACAAAAAATAAATATTTTCAACATTTGGTCATGTAACATATGAAGCTAAACTTAGCATATCTCAAAGCTGTATTAATTTTTTGTCATAGTTAAAACTTAACTTCTATTGCCTGACATAACTTATAAAGTAAGATGTGAAATAAAATAATGTACAAAAAATTAAATAATACTTATACACACTCGCAAAATCATTTGTATATATTTGTGTTCACTTTATATATATATATATATATATTTCTTGAAATGAGACAGTATGAAGAACATTTTGTAAAATCTGTAATGTCCATTTGACAAAATAGATGTCTTATTTCTAAAGCTTCAAAACAGACCAATTAAACCCTGATTGGTTAAAAAATGAATAATTAAACTCTCTGACTGATTTGAAAATTTATAATTAAACTTTGATACCAATTATTAGTTACTGCTGAGAGATGCTATTTTAATTTCTTTATGAATAAAAAATGATTGCATCATTTATATTTTTCATCATCATGATGAGAAGAAAATGTAAGCACTGAAAAAAATATTAAATTAGATTTTTGTTTGCACAGCTGATATGATTTGTGACTACAAAAATTGTTCTATGTCATTGTTTTTAAGCCACAGTTGTGTATTGAAATGTTCTGATAGTTTGACAGTTAAGGAAAACTCTTGAATTCCAAACTGTGGAAAAATCAATGGCAAACTACTCTACCTTTCCCCAAATGTATAGTAATTCACAGATAATAAACAAAAGAAGAATGTGGAGAATCATGATTGCCTAACACCCTGAAAGGACATGGCATTAAATAATCTTTGTAAATGTAGAAATTATCTAAAAGAAGAAATGAAAATGATCAATTTTTCAATCTTGCATATTTTTTCTTTTGTTTTTTTTCTCCCAACAAAAGCCGTGTTTTCCCAGATAAAGAAACAATGATTAATGGAACATTAGATATTGCTTCATTAATTGCTTCTAAAAGCCCAATTGCTGTCCAAGGAACCAAAGTAAACCTGATTTACTCCAGAGATCACTCAGTCCCTGAAAGTCTTCAGTACATTGTAAGTCAGTTTGCTTATATTTCTCTCTAATAAATTTATTTAAAAATTCTCTTCTGAATTGTTTATTTTCTTACATTCTCAGGAGAATGAGTGTAATACTTTTTTCATTCACCTAAAACATTAAAAATATTCAAGCATACAGACTTTATCACTGTCTTAACTAATCTCACTTGTGCATAATGCATTCAGTTTTCCTATACAACTTAATAAGTATCATTTCCATTGAACATACCAGCAGAACCAGTTGAAGGGTCTGGTGTCTCCCCCCCCCCCGTCTATGATATGGGACCCCCACTCTCTATCATCTCAAGTTTCATATGGTAGTATTCACATAAAATACAAGTTTTATTGTAACCTAATTATGTGCAATAATAGATTATATGCAATATAGGTGAACAATTCAACTAGAAAAATTGAAAATAAATACAATAGAATATATATATATATGTTATAATAGTTTATTCCATCTGAAATTAATAATGTTTTGTGGCAATTTTTAACATCAACATGATTTTTCTTGTTAAAATGTCAAATTTTAATACATTTAACATTATGAATAAAAAAAAATAATGAATAGTGGTTTTTTTTTTTTTAGACTTAGCCTGAGCAAAGCAAATTCATGGATTTGGATGAAAAAAATCAACCCTCGAATTGTATCAAAATCCACAGAAATTTTTTCATCATTCAATAGTCATGTTTAGTTTAATTTGTAATGTATATAAATGTAGGTAGAAAAAAAGCGAAGGTTAATAATATCGTGAGGCCCTCAAAACACTGCTGGGGGGGGGGGCAATCAGGCTTTGCCAAATTGGGGTTTTTGTGGGATTGTATACACCAGCCCTGCATACCAGCATGCTCATCTTAGTTGCTATACTCACAACATTTAAATTGTTGTACTCTGGGCTTCCTCAGGTGTCTGTCATTGTACTTGATAACCTTCTCAGAATTTTAGCCCAAATACTTTATTCAATCCATATAGGTAGATTGTTCTGATTCTGCTTTTCATGCTTAGTCACCCGTTTTAGTTACTTTGTGTTGCTTGTTCATTTCTTTATTAAACCAGACACAGGAAATGATTGTTTCAATTCATAAATAAATCAGATTGTATTGATAAGAAGAAAAATTTTTATATTATTAGAATAAATCTTTTTTTTTAAATGCATATAATCTGGATTTTGCTAGTTTATTTATTTTCACATGATCAAATTGTCAACTAATAAACCGCATCTGAAAGAGAATATAAAGTAAAAGAATAATTGCTTCATCCAGAACACCAGTCTTTTTCCAACAAATCTTATCCTTCTGTTCCTTTTAAATTTGATATTTTTCAGTTTCACTCAGAAGTCAGATAAGAGTTGTTCCCCTTCCCTAATCATACCACACTCATATATTATTATTATTATTTTATTTTTTTTACAATGATTTTTTACAAGGCCGAAGAGCCACTTGGAGAAGCCACTGGGGAAGATAACCCTAGACTTAACAGGTTAAGATTAGGAAGCATCCTCTTGGAAGTTGGTTCCACAAAGCAGCACTTCATCAGAAGAAGCTGCTCATCATAAATAAATAATTATGAATAGCCTAATAGTAAAGTCTATCATTACATTATCTTTTTTCTTTTTAGGCTAACTGGAATCAAGTGATGCTGCAAAGTGAAGATATTGTGAAAGCAATGACAGAAAAGCCACCCGTGTTCTCTAAACTCTGATTCATCAACAGCAAAAGAAGTCAAAAGTGAAATCAAGTTTTGTTTTGACACTAACAAATTGAACCTTTCTTGCTTAATAGAATGAAAAATATGAGTTTGGGCACAAAACATGTTTTAACTCTTAGAAGATCTTGATTCTCATAGAACCTTCATTAAATGATTAATATTAATTTAAGATGCTAAAATTTACTTTTAAACTAAAAAAAAATCTATTAGTGACTCCCAATTCCAGTTGGTTAACAAATCAATTCTCAATGGACCACATTCTCTATAAATTAGGAATTGCAGAAAATTGCTGCATGCAGGGATTACCAATATACAATTGTATATGTATATCCAGATATTCCATTTTCTTCAAATGTGAAAAATTTTAACGTGGTATCAAAACAAAAAGCCATAATTTGTTTTGATGGTGAAATTGTTACAAAATAGAAAAAATAAAGAACAAATGGTCAAAATGGTGACATCTCATATTAACCAACAATACAAGTGTTTGGGTAAAATTAAAAAAAATAAAAGAAATAAACAGTTTTTTCTTTTATGTGGCAGTGAATGAGACTCAATCACAGATGAAAAGAGACTTGAAGCAACAAAAATGTTCTTCTACAGAAGGACACTGAGAATACCATGAATGGAACATATTAGCAATGAAGTTTAAAAAAATAGAAAGAAAAAGGACATTTATATTTAAGAGATAGTTAACATTTCTAGGGTACATAATGAGGAAAGAGGTCTCGGAAAATTTGATACTTACAGGACAAATTGAAGGCAAGAAGAAGAGAGGAAAACAATACATAATCTACCTAGGTAAATGGATGGTGGAGCAAGGTTTAGGAGAGATAATAAAAAGACAAAATTTATTAAGAGCTACAAAGGACAGGAAATTGTTGAGAGCTTTGATCACCTACATCCTGAAGAGACATGACACATAGAAAAAGAATGTTTTAAAATGTTAGTAAGTATTTTTGTATTCACAATGTGATGTAAATTGATATGGCAGTCAAGAAGCAAAAGAACATTTGTCTTTTTCAAAAGAAAAACTGACTGGAAATATTTGTTGGTAAATTATTCCTTATGAGACTTTACATAAAAACAATGTCTATAGAAAAATTAGCCATAGAAATGATGGAGTTGGTAGTTATTGAGACCTTTGTAGAAACTTATAAATAAACATCAGACACCACATCACTTTCTAATCTTTACTTTTTTTTAATAAACCTAAAATAGAACTGTCAGAGTTAGTCTATTCTGACATTCAATAATAAAATTTCTTTATATAGAAATAACCGCAGTCTGATGATTGAAATTCAAAGCTAAGAATTATAACATTTACAACAGAAATTTAAAGTGATATTTCCTCGGTAGGTAATGATAATTGTAATAATGTAATAAATGTCAAAAATTGTGGTTGTTGTTTAGATTGCAATGATATCAAATAATGTTGTTTAGATTGCAATGATATCAAATAATGTTGTTTAGATTGCAATGATATCAAATAATGTTGTTTAGATTGCAATGATATCAAATAATGTTGTTTAGATTGCAATGATATCAAATAATGTTGTTTAGATTGCAATGATATCAAATAATGTTGTTTAGATTGCAATGATATCAAATAATGTTGTTTAGATTGCAATGATTGCAATGATATCAAATAATGTTGTTTAGATTGCAATGATATCAAATAATGTTGTTTTTGCAATGATATCAAATAATGTTGTTTAGATTGCAATGATATCAAATAATGTTGTTTAGATTGCAATGATATCAAATAATGTTTTGCAATGATTTAATGTTGATTGCAATGATATCAAATAATGTTGTTTAGATTGCAATGATATCAAATAATGTTGTTTAGATTGCAATGATATCAAATAATGTTGTTTAGATTGCAATGATATCAAATAATGTTGTTTAGATTGCAATGATATCAAATAATGTTGTTTAGATTGCAATGTTGTTTAGATTGCAATGATATCAAATAATGTTGTTTAGATTGCAATGATATCAAATAATGTTGTTTAGATTGCAATGATATCAAATAATGTTGTTTAGATTGCAATGATATCAAATAATGTTGTTTAGATTGCAATGATATCAAATAATGTTGTTTAGATTGCAATGATATCAAATAATGTTGTTTAGATTGCAATGATATCAAATAATGTTGTTTAGATTGCAATGATATCAAATAATGTTGTTTAGATTGCAATGATATCAAATAATGTTGTTTAGATTGCAATGATATCAAATAATGTTGTTTAGATTGCAATGATATCAAATAATGTTGTTTAGATTGCAATGATATCAAATAATGTTGTTTAGATTGCAATGATATCAAATAATGTTGTTTAGTTGCAATGATTCAAATAATGTTGTTTAGATTGCAATGATATCAAATAATGTTGTTTAGATTGCAATGATATCAAATAATGTTGTTTAGATTGCAATGATATCAAATAATGTTGTTTAGATTGCAATGATATGTTTAGAATCAAATAATGTTGTTTAGATTGCAATGATATCAAATAATGTTGTTTGATATCAAATAAATTAATGATATCAAATAATGTTGTTTAGATTGCAATGATATCAAATAATGTTGTTTAGATTGCAATGATATCAAATAATGTTGTTTAGATTGCAATGATATCAAATAATGTTGTTTAGATTGCAATGATATCAAATAATGTTGTTTAGATTGCAATGATATCAAATAATGTTGTTTAGATTGCAATGATATCAAATAATGTTGTTTAGATTGCAATGATATCAAATAATGTTGTTTAGATTCAATGATATCAAATAATGTTGTTTAGATTGCAATGATATCAAATAATGTTGTTTATTGCAATGATATCAAATAATGTTGTTTAGATTGCAATGATATCAAATAATGTTGTTTAGATTCAATGATATCAAATAATGTTGTTTGATTGCAATGTTTGTTTGTTTAGATTGCAATGATATCAAATAATGTTGTTTAGATTGCAATGATATCAAATAATGTTGTTTAGATTGCAATGATATCAAATAATGTTGTTTAGATTGCAATGATATCAAATAATGTTGTTTTGCAATGATATCAAATAATGTTGTTTAGATTTGATATCAAATAATGTTGTTTAATTGCAATTGCAATGATATCAAATAATGTTGTTTAGATTGCAATGATATCAAATAATGTTGTTTAGATTGCAATGATATCAAATAATGTTGTTGTTGTTTGCAATGATATCAAATAATGTTGTTTAGATTGCAATGATATCAAATAATGTTGTTTAGATTTGCAATGATATCAAATAATGTTGTTTAGATTGCAATGATATCAAATAATGTTGTTTAGATTGCAATGATATCAAATAATGTTGTTTAGATTGCAATGATATCAAATAATGTTGTTTAGATTGCAATGATATCAAATAATGTTGTTTAGATTGCAATGATATCAAATAATGTTGTTTAGATTGCAATGATATCAAATAATGTTTAGTGAATTCTAACTGAAGTGACTTATTGATAGGCAGAAACACACAGAAATTTAATAAAATGATAAAGAGAAGCCCAATTCCAATATTATCACTAATTTTATAGAAAGAATCATCTGAAAATCATTAAAACTTGCTTTTCTTAAAATTCATCAAATTCTGGAGGATATTGTATAGAAATATATGATTAAAAGCTTATAATATATTGCTTTTGGTCTTATACTCATAATTATTGTTTCTGTAATCATTGATTTGTTGACATATGGCGTTGACAAAATAGAGTTGCATAAATTTTTAGTGAAATATAAATCAATTTTTACATTTTTATTTATCAGATACTAATTGGTAAAAATATTCTTTGTTTTTTATTTTCAATTAACTTTCATCCATTTATAATAAATGTTATAAAAATGACTAAAATGAATGAAGTCTACTTCCAAATATGAAAGGCTTACTTTTAGGGTAACATGTCATGTCATTTTGACCTAAAATATTAAAAAAGTTTTGCTCTTTCTCAAGTCTTTCAAATTATTTTTCAATGGAAAAATCTGTAATGAGAAATTTAATGATTTTTTTTTTTTTTTCAAATAAACCTTCTTTATTTTTCTTGAATTTACTTATTCCTTCTAATTATGGAATTTCCTTTCCAGAATTATTACATGACTACAGGGAAGAAACTTACTCTTACATTTATTTAAAGATTTCTATTATAAGTATTCAGGGAAGGTGAGGATAGTGATTACTGTCTGTTAGTGTGAAATAAGGAAGTTTTACATAACTTTTTATTTTTATGATTATTTATACCTACAGAATTTTTCATAAAGTTCTTATAAAAATAACAATCCTATTATTTGAAAGAAAAGAATATAAATGTGTACATAGAGAAGCCAATATTTAAAAATGTATTTTTTGTTTTAGTAAAATATAGGAATTACTTTATATTCTTTTTCCAAATAGAAAAATTTCCCTGTAGAATTTCTATAGATCTTACTTGTACCAACTCAAAATATCCCATGAAATCATCTCATTTGTTTTTATCACAAAATTCCATGGACTTTTTGTCGTCATAATAAAAATACAGAAAATGATGATGCACATTCTAAATAATTATGGCATAATGAAAATAGATTTTGTGTTTCCATTCTTTCCTCATAAAATCTTAAGTTTCTTCTTCCTTTGCTGGCTTTCAGGTGAATTCTATTTTTATGAACCTTTAATTTACTCTTATCACCAGATGCCAATCATGAGTCATTGTGATGTCCCTCTGAAGAATGTGCTTAATGCTTTCCATGATCCATCAGCCCCAAATCAAATACAATGACATCTCTCAGTGGAGAATAGGGTCTTTATGATTACTGAGATGAAAAATTTCAATGCTTTTGAATGACACACAAATTAATATGTTATTCCTTTGAGTCAAAAAATTTTTTCTTCATTAAATAAGCAAAGATTATTTATTATTACTATCATCAATGCCCATGATGAGGTGTGATATAGCACGGCAAAGTAGAC